TCATAACGTAATCATTTTGTGCATAAATAAGGATTTAAATTTTATCATAAAACATAAACTTCATCCTAAAATATTATCATGGATTTACGTGTTCGAAAACATCTTTAAAACGATAAAAAAATAAATACTAAATAAAATAAATATGTTTTCAGATTAAAAACATCATATTCTAACCTAGGTCTAAGAAAATAAGTACAAATACCGTATGCATGTACAAAGGTCTCGAATTGCAATGTCTTCGAAAACGGTAGAGGAATAGTTTGTCTTTACTTCAAATAGAAATAGCACATGACTTGAGTATTGTAAGAAATACTTAGTAAGTCACCCTATTATTGGGTTAGATGAAAATACATACATGAGTCGGACCTATCATATTAGTCTATATTCATTAGGCGGCTATCATAATGAGCTAATTGGATGTGTATTTACTCTTCTACACACAGTCCACACGTACGAGTATGGACCCAGCAATCAGCTTACACATCCTTGGCCCCTTTCTTGTCGGGCGAGCATTCTCAAGTAGCTGTTGATGCTAGAGATCCATTTAGGAATAGCGATCGTCACAATATTATAATAGATATAATGATCGTTTTCCTGCCTCGTAGTATACACATTCATACCATTGTAATGAAGAAGGGGTATTCCCCGATGCATAAACACACAATGATGCATGAGGTCCCAACATTTTTCCTTTTTCATTATCATGTATGACAATCCCTCTAGCGTTTTCCTTCATATCATTATCATTATCATTATCATAACTTTTCATGTAATTTCAGATTTGTGTATGATGTCGAAACATTTTATTGCATGTCATTCATATCATAAATCTTATCATGTCAGGTATGTCATATCATAAGCATATCGTGTCTCCAACATATCATGTCATACTGTACACGTATAATATCATAAAGTATATCATATCGTTTACGTATCATATCACAATATATATATACGTACGTATGTATCATTCACATATCATATCTCAAACATATCCATCAAACGCATCTTACCATAACATATATCATATCGTTCACATAACATATCATAGACATATCATTTCGTAACCATATCATAGTCATATTGTTTCATAAACATATCCTAATCAGATTATTTCCTAAACACTTCATACATATCAAACATATAACACGTGCAGAACCACAGGGTACATGTCATCATACAAACATCAACTTTTAATCAAACCGATAGTACTACAACTTACATGGTTGGCCTTAGCCAAAGTTTCATCTAACTCCAAATTTGCTTGCTTTCATCTTCGAATTCATTCTCACTTATATCAAGACTTTACTTATTTTGAATATTAAATTAATTGTCTCAATTAAAATTGGATTCCATGTTTTCATTGTTTTTAAATGATGCTTGTAGTAAAACTTAAATTAAAAAAATATGTCAATATTATTTTATGTTTTTGCCATTTAAAAATAACCCTCTCCAAATCTTCCATTTTTTTTCTATATGTATTTATTATGTTTTTTCTTTTAATTTTGATCACAATTATGCTCTTTGTATTTCATTTGTTTTATCTTTTATTATTATAAAATTTCTTAGCATTTAATTTCTAACTCAAAGATAAATAATTGCAACCATTTAGATAAGATCTAAGATATAATTGGATGTGATTTTCTAAAAATGAAAATATGCCTTATTGCATAGTTGCTTAAACGTGTTTTTCTAGTTCAAAACTAAATTAAAGGCCAATTTTTCTCTTTCAACATTTTTGTTTTTGTGTTTCTTTTTGGAAGAACTATGATACATACCAAGTTAAGAGATTGGTTGAATTGAGATAATTGAGAGAAGGAACGAGAGATCACCCGTCTGGGAAAGATTGCTTTAAAAGAAAGTATGTTTTTTTTAACACGCACAAGAAACACTCGAATGAAATGAGTAACCATATATATTGGTTTATTTCCAAAGTTGATATTAATTAAGTTTCCCAAAATTGTAGCCCATCAAACTAAATTGACATTGTGATGTCCCACGTTAGTTGGGGGAGAACAAACCACCATCTATAAGAGTGAGGAAACCTTTCCCTAGCAGACGCGTTTTAAAGCCTTAAGGGTAAGCCCGAAAAGGAAAGTCCAAAAAGAACAATATCTGCTAGCGCTGAATCTGGGCTGTTACAAATGGTATCAAAGCCAGACACCGAACGATGTGCTAGCCTTCTCGCTGTTCTCCGAACGGGGTAGATATGAGGCGGTGTCCAATAAGGACGTTGGGCTCCAAAGGGGGGTGGATTTGGGAGTGGTCCCACGTCGATTGGAGGAAGGAAAGAGTGTCAGCAAGGACGTTGGGCCCCGAAGGGGGATGGATTGTGATGTCCCACATTGGTTGGGGGGAGAACAAACCACCATTTATAAGGGCGTGGAAACCTTCCCCTAGCAGACGCGTTTTAAAGCCTTGAGAGGAAGCTCGAAAGAAAAAGCCCAAAGAAGACAATATCTGCTAGCGATGAGCCTAGGTCGTTACAGACATTTTCATGCAAAGCTTTCCACCTTCTTGCTTATTCAAGGAGTTCTATTCCATCGAGATCAAATCTTGGTCGGAATAGAGTGATTCGCAAAATGGTTGTTCGATTCGTCACATAAACGGGTATTCATCATTTTAAGTTCAGTTTATTCTTCTCTATAAAAGAAGGATTGATTTCATCCTCGTGTTTAAATTTAGTTTTTTTTTTTTTTCATCATTTTCCATACACATGTTCAAATCATTCGATGGTTAATGTAGCTTGTTCCACTAACTCTACGACTATAGTGTTGACAACGATGGCGTGGTTAAGAAGACAAAGTCAATCCCCAACGATTTCCTTCTCGAAAATTAACAAGTGATAAGGGTGAAGGATTTAAACCAAGTTTGAGGTTGAAAAGAGAGGGAAAATGTAAGCCATTGGAGGAGAAACGTCGTCATGGGAACAAAAATACTGAGTTATTATATGAACTAAGACATCAATCATATAATATAAACTTCAAATAAGATAAGGAAGAAAATGTTGTTCAAATTATCATAAATATGTTGTCATCATGTCACCGTGACATTAGAGAAAAATCAATTTTCATCTGTTCTTAGACAGATGTTCCACTTTTTAATCTTTAGACAACCGTGTAGAGGGTAACTAAAAAGGTGCGAAGAAATAAACTCAGTGGTAAATTAGAAGAATTGGCAACTTATGGTGCACGGGGGATAGTTTTGGGACACGAGCTGTCTGAAAAAAAGATCGAACTTATAGTGGTGTTTGAATTTGAAAATATTAGAGCATTTCTAATTGAAATAAAGGTCAAGGTACATAGAGACCACAATCCCTATCTAATGACAAAGAAGAGCTCTCATGGCTTTGCTTTGGGCTTCTCCAAAAGGCTTTCCTAAATTAGCCGATGTGGGACTTTCACCCCTTGAACAAAGTACGCTTCCCCTTAATCGAGGCTCAACTCATTTGAAATCTTAGTCATTTTTTACTGCCTTCGAGGAAGCTGGAGAGAGTATTCCTTGATTATAAACCCACGATCATTCCCTAAATTAGCCGATGTCTTAGTCATTTTTGACTGCCTTCAAGGAGGAAGACAAACACGACTCTCCACAATGGTATAATATTGTCTACTTTGAGCATAAGCTCTCGTGGCTTTGCTTTGGGCTTCCCCAAAAGGGCTCGCACCAATGGAGAAAGTATTCCTTGATTATAAACCCACGATCATTCCTTAGATTAGCCGAGATGAAACTTTCATCATCCAACACTACGTACTTACAACATTGTAATAATTTAATAAAGTTATTTAATAAATAACTTTAATGAGTAACGTTGTAACAATTTCATCCCTATCGCAAAAATATTATTAAAATTTAATAAAATTTCTTACATAGGTAGAATGATAAATTAATTAGGGATCAAAGTTGTTGAAATTATAAAGATTAAGTGGTTCATTCAATAATTTAAGCCCTCATTTCTTAATTAAGAATCTGATAAGAGATATTTGGCTCATTAACGAGGAAAAAAAATGAGTTTTAGAAAAAAAAACGACTGTCGGGGTACTCGGGGTACTCCGATCCAGCTACGAGGAGGCATTTTCTAACCAATATAAATGTTCCTAGAAATTCTTACTCTCATTCGACCATTTGTATCTATATGCATTAGGATCCCGATTCATGGATCTCTCGGTTCGAGAAATCAAAATAAGAGGATCGAACCATTTCTTCTGACCCTTTTTCAAATTTGATAAATGTTGGTTGATCGTATATTTTCAATGATTCAGAGTATCATTTCTTACTTAATCCCTTTGAATTCCATATTCGAAGTTGTGGTCGGATCTATTCATTAAAAGAATCGATTCAATACATTTCTTATGTACCCATCGGAGGCATTTTCTAACCACAGACCCTTCACAAAAGTTGATTAGAACCACAAGAAAACTCGATCTAAATATTTAGATGGTTGAAATCCATCAAGAAACGGGGAAGATCGAGAGGAGTTTTTGGTTTCGATTTTCCTCCAAATTTAAGAGATTTTCTTGGAATTAGGTTCTTAATTTTTTATACGTTGTTATTAGAAAGATTTCGCACAACTTTCACGAAGGAAGAACTAGAACAAAAAGTTGGAGTTCCAACTATCATCGAGAATGATAAATTATGTATTGTCTACCCGTTTTTAAATGCATTTATTTGTCTCCATAGTTAACGAAATGAAATGAAAATATTATTTTTGAAAAAATGGATTAAAACTCTACAATTTTGATATCCACTGTAGGTGAGTTTGAGCTGTTATAAATGGTATCAAAGTCAGACACCGGGCGGTGTGCCAGCGAGGACCCTGACCCCAATGAGGGTGGGATTGTGAGATTCCATATCCGTTGGAGAGAGGAACGAAACATTTCTTATAAGGGTATAGAAACTTCTTCCTAGTATACGCATTTAAAACTGTGAGGTTGACGATGATATATACTGGTAGTGGGTTTGAGTTGTTATAAATAGTACCAAAGCCCGATATCGGGTAGTGTGCCAACAATGACGCTGGTCCCCAACGGAGTGGATTGTGAAATCTTATATCAATTGGAGAGGGAAACTAAATATTTCTTATGAGAGTGTGGAAACCTCTCCCTAGTAGGTGCATTTTAAGAGTGTGAAGTTGAGAACGATACGTAACGGATCAAAACAGATAATATCTAGTAATGGTAGACTTGAACCGTTGACAAATTCATAACCGAGATTTTGGATGACAGACATGTTTGGAAGAGAAGAGCCAGCTAGTCACTAATATAAACAAAGAACTGACAAATTGAGTGGGACTATCAAAGATAGGAGACAAAATGCCGCACATGCAGGTAATGGTATTTGACAGTGGAGAGCATGGGGCCACTACTCACTCTCAAATTTTTGCAGACTTTAAGGTATGTTCATGCTGGTTACAACAAGTTTGTCTTAAAGTGTTTTTTACTCAAATGTTTGTGTGGTTTAAAGCTTGTATGCACTTGGGATTAAACTAAGTTTAGTGGTCCTTATGACATTGGACAAAGTACCTTTATAGCTTTTTTTTTTTTTTTTTTTTG